ATTTTTAGAAAGTGTAAATAAGGGATAGTTATGTTACCATTCCTAGTAAGTTGGCCACAACCTGCTGTCAATGTTTTTTTTTCCCCCTCTTGTAGCCACCATCACACTTGCAGTAAGATTTAAAGGTTAAGAAGCAAAATTACCATTCGTGTCTGTATTTTCCCAAAACATTTGAAAATCTTACACATTAATATCGCTAAAACAATTACTCATGTATCAGAAACATAGCACAAGCTTTAGATATGCAGTTTAAAATAACTAGTCCGAGTAAGAATTAATGACGAATAAATAAAAATGTTCACAAGATTTACAATTATATATAGTATCTGTACCCCGAACTATTTCAGGGCAATCCATTAAACAAAAATTACAAGCTGTTAAACCACATTCCATTATCTACAACTGTGAACAAAAGACATCAGGCATTTTGGTGGCCCCTTGAAAAACCTCTATTAACTCATAACTGCACCTTAAATATTCAGTAGCCTTAAATATCCACAAAATACTGCATTCTAAAATCACATCTAACACTGAGAATTGGTACAAGAATCTTGGTCCCTAATAAATTTTCTCCAACAAAGACAGAAAAAAACAGTTTATGCAGGCCAGCTCTAGAAGAGGTGGACTTTTAAGTCTTATTTGCATCAAATGCTTGTTTCTAAGCACTAACTGACAGGTTTTATTTTGATCTCAGGTTTTCTTGTTAGGTGAAACAACTTATTTACCATTTTTCTAAGTATTCTTAGAACGCTTCGCTATAACTCTTTAAGAAATAAAATAGGAATACTTATGAAGAGAAACATTGCATTTTAATTATTAGTTGACCAGAAATGATGTAAAACATTCTGAGGAAAAAAAAAAACCCAGCGAACAGAAAGAACTCTCTTTACCTTGATTTCAACGTTTCTTGTTTTTAAATTAAACCTGATTTGAAGTTGCAAGTGTTCCACGACAGGCGTGAATATTTTCATCCAATTCTCCTTTAATGGCGTGTACCTGTTAGCTGGCACAGGTATCTTCCTGATTTCATCATTTCCAACCTAGCGAGAGAAAGAAAGCACAGAAGAGAAGGAAAAAAAAAAAAAAGAGAGAAGGAAAAAATCCAGAAGTCATTGTCACGTGGCGAATACAGCGCAGCAAAAAAGCTCCTCCTCATCTCAGCCTGTTCTTTCCCCTGTTGCAGAGGACCCCGAAGAACAGCGCGGCCCGGGCACGGCTGTGGCGGCCCAGCGCGACGCAGCGAAGCAGCC